GATCTTTTTACAAGCCAACTGCCTTTCTGTGGCCTTTCACATTTAAAAGGAACAAAGCAGTTGCCATAGAAACCCCCCTTCCCTCTTCCTTTGCCAGCAGCTTAAACGTCCTGAGGCAATGAAGGGATGGCTTCAAAGATCATCTGTGAACGAATTCAACTTGCTAAACTTAGAAAAATTGTTGTCTTTGTTTGATGCTAGGAGAGGGTGATTCTCCCCCTCCTTTCTGGCCCCAGCACGAACATTGTGACCATTTGCTCCCTCGGCAAAAGCAGGGCACATTCCTGGTCGTCAAGGAAGAAGGCAATTAGGTAATAAATCTCGTCATAAAACACAGCTCTGGCAAAGAGGCCAAACTCCCCCCTCCCTTTGGAATTTCAGCTATGCCATTAGAAAGAAGCCATATAAAGGCCCAATAGCAGGGCAGCAGCGCCCCCTGGTGGCCTATCTGCACGTGACACCTTGAAAAAAAAAAATTTTTCCTTTTCTTTTCACATCACAACAATTTGATAATTTAATTCAATCAAGCCTATACCACCACTAATAGAGCTTTCACCCAATCAAGCTGGAGACCCAAGTTTCTTCCAGTTTTGAGTGATAGAAGAAGGTAGCATAGCCATCAATCCTTGCCTATTATCACAAGCTGAATACCCAGTGTGTTCCAGCATGCAACTTAATGACCAGGTGGGAGTTCATGCCTCTCAGTGGCCCCGCAGGTACGTGGTAATAGGAAGAATTTGGCTCACCTCTCTTCAGACGTCCCCTAGTGGTTAAAGGAGGAGCTGCACGCGAGCCTTTAATCACGCCCAGAGAAAGCCCTCTAGTGGACAAAGGGTGTACCTCAAAAGAAGATCAACCCGGTAGCTGATACGCAGATAGCGACCCCTAGTGGTCAAAAAGTGAAGTTCATCCAATTCCCTTCTAATTAGCTAGGAACCACAGGACAACGCTCCCAGTGGCTCCCACACCTACAGACAGCACCCCTGAAGCTGATACGCAGATAGCGACCCCTAGTGGTCAAAAAGTGAAGTTCATCTAATTTGCTTCTACATAGCTAAGCATCACAGGAGAACGCCCCCAGGCACCTCCACCCACAGACAGCACCTCTGAAGCTGATCGGCAAGTAGCGACCCCTGGTGGTCAAAGAGAGAAGTTCTTCAAATTTGCTTCAAAATAGCTGAGAACAACACTGAACCCATCCTAACCATGGCAGAGTGGCTCATTGATTTAGATGAAGGGGTTCAACCAACCAGCTTAGTTGAGACACCCCAACCAGACGGCCAAGGAGAAGCGCCGCAAACAGCCACCCTTGACCTGTACACAGAAGCTGAAGCTCAAGTCTCAGTAAGACCAAAGACGTCTCAAAGTCACTATGATCTGAGACAACAAAGAAAGCCAACTGAAGCCATGCATGCAAACCTGTTGGAGAAATGGCACACCGTGTACAAGCGCCATGAAAGATGCTGGGAGAAATGGCACAAACTCTACCTAGAGCAAAAGGAGGATCTCTCCCCCGAACGTGCTCACACACTAGTAGGAGATAAGGAAGACGCCTTCACACAATGGATGGACTCTGAACGGCACCTCAAGGACATCCAACAGCAATTAAGAGACTCAGAAGTCGACCGCGACATGCAAAGTCTTCGGTTACGGAACGAGGAACGCAAGAAGCTTCTAGGGAGCCCACAACGCCCTCCAGAACGCGAACCTCGCCTGAGAGACGGACCGGTTGACAGAGCAGAGTCTGCCGTTTCCCGCCATTCACACGCACCGTCCCAACGGTCGCACGTGCCTCCATCCCATGCATCTGGAAGGGCCTCATCCTTCCGCCACATCTCCAAGGCATATTCCAGCGTGTCACAACAGTCTCATGTCACAGGCGCCTCCCGAAATTCGAAAGCATCTTCTCATCACAGCCGAGCATCTCGAATTTCACAAACAGAGCAAGCAATCATTGATGCCAAAGCTGCCAAAGCAGTCTTTCGTGTGATTCAAGAGGAGCGGCAGAGGAAGAAGGATTTGGCGGCCATAGATCTCGAAGAGGCTGAAATAGAAGCCAGTCTAGAAGCTGAGGCACTCAAAATGAAGAATGAGCGAGAAATGGAGGAAGCCAAAATGAAGAAAGAGCGAGAAATGGAGGAAGCCAAAATGAAGAAAGAGCGAGAAATCGCAGAAGCTCAATTGGAAGCAAAACGAAAAGCTATAGCAGCTAAAATGAGGGCCAAAAGACAAGATGCTCAAGAAGAGCTGGAATTTGTTCAAAGCCAACGAGATATGGTAGACAAAATAGCTAGAGCGGAAGGCCTTCAGGAGACACTTGATGCTATTTAAGATGAAGGCTTATCTAGCCTCCTTTCAAATCTCTCCTATCAGAGTTTTCTGCGAGGAAAGAGTTAAACCCTTAATTGTTAACATGCAAGCTCCCAAGGTTGCTGTCTCTTCCGCATCCTCAGCCCAGAGAAAAGGAGTGGGAGAAAGTGGGAGTAAGCCAGCACTTACAGAAGATGTACTTAATAGCACAGAAACTGGGCTCATTAATGCTTTTGGTGCTCTCCCAAGGAGTGAAC